AGTCATGGAATCACATGGCTGGAAGGATCACCTTGACAACCAGGGGAGACATTTGAGGTGAGTGTGATTCCAACAACAGAAATTAGTGCTTCACAAAATCTCAGGAGGTGTCATGACATCAAAATACACTGAAGTGAGGGGGCTCCAAATAGTTCATGGAGCACTCCATCATCTTTCAGTTGCATCATTCTGTGAACAATTATGATTGAGGAATTGCTGGGCAAACAAAGGTTGCATGTGCATTTCCCAACAGTCAGATCTCTTGCCTTTTAAATTGTGAGTCAGTTAAGAAACCGTCAGTAGTGTGCCATTCAGATGTGGTTATCGGGGACCGAGGCCTGCTCAGACCACTGTGTAGGTTTCCCGAAGGAGAGGCGAGGATTAACGAACACAGCTGATGGCACGTGACAACGTTTATTTCCAATCTCAGAGTATATATAGGGTGGTTCTGCAAGTCAGTGCTGTTTTGCATAGTTACAAGTCTGTCCTTTACTGGGAATCATGCGACCTTGGGAAAGCTACCTTCCCTGCTGTTTTAATAAGCAGACACTGTCTGGTTAGACCCAGCCTTAAAGTTTTGTGAGGCCTGTAAGCCTTTTGGTCCCCAACATGTGGTGGCAGGCTGCACAGCTCTAAATGTTTGTTGATCTCCAGAGTCCTACAACATATCCGGGCTGTGATGTAAGACTCTTGGTATCCATGCAGGTGTTTGGTGTTGAAGGAGTGTGTAGAGTGACACGTTCATATTGGTGGTTTGCTCACCGTCCTTGAATGCAGTACCAGTGATTGTTTCTTCACCAAATCAAATTCTATTAAAACAACAGTTTTGATTGCTATGCAATCTGAACACTTTTCTCATTTATATTGGAAATTGCTGAGTCGTTCCAAAGTAGTTTGAATCCCTGAAGCTGACTGATGTATATGTGTTGTGTTTGCCAAGTCAGTTCTGACTTTTAGCAACCCTTTGTTGACTTTCCAAGGAGTAGCTGTTGTTACATGCCATGAAGTCGTTCTACTTTGTGGTTCAAATCTAGCTTACCACCTAGTGTTAATCTTTCATCTGGACCCATGTATATCTGTAAATGTGTATAATGCTGTCTGTAAAACTTTAGTTTCCGTGAAAATTTACGTTAGAACATTTTCATAAGTATTAGTCAGCAAAATGTTTAAAGCATATTTTAGTTGGACACAATGAACAGGAAGTCTTACACATTGACAGAAATGGTAGTCATTGTCCTAGATGAATCTTGAGACAACTCAGGGGAAAGACGTGCATGTTCACTGAGTTTGGTAATGCTGTCATGTGACAACATTTGCTTCCAACCACATAAATGACTTATTTTTGTCTCCCTGTAGACAGTGGAGTAGTTTGCAGAGGACACCGTTGTTTTACATTTACAGTACCTGTTTTTAACAGAACTGGTGCAATCGAAAACCTGTGTGAACGTTCTGAAGGCAACCAGTGTGGGGAAACATCCAGCAGTACCTGTCAGTGTCCTTACTGTGGAAAAGACTGCAGGTGTCCTTCTCACCTGACCACGCCAGTGAGAACTCATGATGGGAAAAATACCCATAAATGTAAGCTATGTGGGAGAGGCTTCCTTTGTATGTTGACCCTCAAGAATCTGTCTCAGCAATCACCAGTATTGACGGGTATGAATTCAGCAAGTGGATGGAAATTTTCTATAGTTTCTCACCAGTTAGAACACTTTGGAAGGTCATCAATCCAAATGTAAAGAATTTTTTAGAATGCATATTAATCCTTCATCTCTCATTTTAAACAATAACTCTCATAGAGAGAAGCCTTCTGAATGTAAGAGTGCAATTCCTGAGGCTTCCTCCCTCAATCAACATGTAAGTAGTCACAGTGGAGAGATCCCTTATGAATGTAAAGAGTCTGGGGAAACTTTTAGAGATTCCGCAGACCTGACCGCACATAGAAGAATCTATGTGGAGAGAGGCCCTATGAATATCTGGAGTGTGTGAAAACCTGAAGTGAGGCGTCTCTCCTCCCTGGACATATAGGAACTCACAGCAGACAGAGGCCTTTTGAATGTAAAGTGTGTGGGAAAGCCTTTAGAGATTCCTCACAGTACAGTTGACCTTTGCAAACTCACAGTGGAGACAGACTCTATGAAAGTAATCAATGTGAGAAAGCCTTTAGCCATGCCTATGGGCTCACAAGACATAAAATAGTCCACTGTGCATACATGACTTATGAATGTAAGGAGTGTGAGATCACTTTTAGGGATCCATCAGGCCTGACGGCACATAGAATACACACCCGAAGAGAAGCTTTATGAATGTAAGCAATGTAGAAAAGCCTTCAGAGTGTCATCAAAGTGCAGTAGTAGACTCATGTGGACACACAGTACAGACAGGCACTATGAATGTAAGGAATGTGGGAATACCTATATCTATGACTCAAACCTCATACAACATAGAAGAATCCAGAGTGGAGAGAGGCCCTATGAATGTAAGGAATGTGTAAAAGCCTTTATTTCTTCCACAGCCCTCACTGCACCTATGCAAATTCATAATGGAGAGAGTCCCTATGAATGTAAGGAATGTGGGAAAACCTTTTGCCAAGCGTCAAACCTCACAACGCGTAGAAGAATCCGCACTGGAGAGAGGCTCTATGAATGTAAGGAACGTGAGAAATACTATACTCAATGGTCAGGCCTCAGAATACACAGAAGAATCCACAGTGGAGAGAGGCCCTATGAAAGCAAGGATTGTGGGAAATCCTTTTGTCGACTCTCAAACCTCATAACACATAGAAGAATCCTCAGTGGAGAGACTCACTGTGAGTGTAAAAAATGTGGAAAAGCCTTTATTTCTTCCACAGCCCTCTCTGCACATATGCGAAGTCATAGTGGAGAGAGGCCCTACGAATGTAAGGAGTGTGGGAAAGCCTTTCTCCGAGCTTCACACCTCACAACACATAGAAGGATCCACAGTGGAGAGAGGCCCTATGAATGTAAAGAATGTGGAAAAGCCTTTATTTCTTCCACAGACCTCACTTTACATATGCGAATTCATAGTGGAGAGAGGCCCTATGAATGTAAGGAATGTGGGAAAGCCTTTATCCGAGCTTCACACCTCACAACACATAGAAGAATCCACAGTGGAGAGAGGCCCTATGAATGTAATCTGTGTGGGAAATCCTTTACTGTCCTGTCAAGCCTCACAACACATAGAAGAATCCACAGTGGAGAGAGGCCCTATGAATGTAAGGAATGTGGGAAATCCTTTACTCAGTGGTCAAGCCTCACAAAACATAGAAGAATCCACAGTGGAGAAAGGCCCTATGAATGTAATGAGTGTGGGAAAGCCTTTCTCAGAGCATCATCCCTCAGAACACATAGAAGAATCCACAGTGGAGAGAGGCCCTATGAATGTAAGGAATGTGGGAAATCCTTTACTCAGTGGTCAAGCCTCAGAACACATAGAAGAATCCACAGTGGAGAGAGGCCCTATGAATGTAAGGAGTGTGGGAAAGCCTTTCTCCAATCTTCACACCTCACAACACACAGAAGAATCCACAGTGGAGAGAGGCCCTATGAATGTAAGGAGTGTGGGAAAGCCTTTATTGAATTAGGAAACTTCACAAGACATAGAACAGTCCACAGTGGGGAGAGGCCCTATGAATGTAAGCAGTGTGGGAAATCCTTTACTCGAGGGTCAAGCCTCACAACACATAGAAGAATCCACAGTGGAGAAGACCTTATAAATGCAAGGATTGTGAGAAATGCTTTCGTGGACTCTTACACCTCATAACACATAGAAGAATCCACAGTGGAGAGAGGCCATATAAATGTAAAGTATGTGGGAAAGTCTTTAATAGGTACTCATCCCTCTGTAAACATGCAAACCACAGTGGGGAGAGGACCCATGAATGTAAGGAATGTGGGACAGCCTTTAAGGATTTCTCAGACCAAATTCCACATGTGCAAACTCACGGTGACGACCGGGTTTAAAGAGTATACACAGTGTGGCAACGTGTTCAGGCAGTCCTCAATCTTCACTAGACATAGAAGAAGCCACACTGGAATGAGGCCATCTGAATGTCAAGAGTGTGCAATAGCTTCTGTTGATGCCTCATCCCTCACTGTACATATGAGATCTCACAATGGAGAGAGTAAGGAATATGGAGAACCCACTCCTAGTTGTCCATCTCTTGTGAAAGAGGTGAACTCAGTTAGTTAGCAGAGACCTTATGAATGTAGCCAACTTGGGTAATCCTATGTTTGTTACTCAGCCCTCACTTCATATTTAAGGATGCACAGTGGAGAGGAATGTGAAATTAATGTAATGAACTACTCATGATTCCACAAAATTGCCATGATTCCTAAAAGGAAAGAACCCTTATTGATGTAACAAATGCAGCAGAGGATTTAGATGCTTATCACACTA